TCTTATAACCTGGCATATTCTACCTATGGCATGCAGTGTTACAAGGCTACTAAGCCGTAACGTGCAGAGCCTTTTGTACAATATTTTGGCTGTTACCTAGATGTTTTCAATATGTGGAAGGCTGGTGTCATCATGAAGACATGGAACAGAGCTGGCTAGGAAGCTCAGGAACTTAGTCCCTGTGAACATCAATCTATCTTCACCTCAATGACTGCAAAGTGTGGGCATCCAGGAGGTCTATCCCTGGCAATTTCCACTGGACATGCCAATATTGGGCTGCTCCTCACATCCACAATCCGGATATCAACAACAAGTCTATTCTCATCTGTTAGAGAGCTGCTGAGCTTGGAGCATCTGATCTAAACGTATTTATAGCAGACATTTTCCCAAATGATAAGACTGTGAAGGAACTAACACATACCAAAAACAGGGGAAAAAATACCTCATATCCTTAATGTTTGCTGCACATAAATACACTTCTCTCCTATTGTTGATCCACCACAAAGCTCTGTGAAGGGTGATTCCACCACTGAGATGGGGTCTGCCCAGTGTGACATCCCAAGCACAAGGTATATCCCAGAGCCATCTCAAGCAGGTGGGGGGATTTCATTGAGAGGGGACACCCACAGCTCAGAGCTGCACCTAGGGGTGTAGGTGTTCCCTGGTCACCTCCCAGGCACTCAGCCTCATCTGGCACCCAGGATCGATGAGAAACCATGGTAATCCATGAGTTGCAAACGCTGCCAGGAGCAGGAAGACCTGCTGCTGGGTGACCCTGTAGTTGCCTGCCCTTATCTGTAGGTAGGAGACAAAGCTTGACACTTGATCTCATGGGTGTGCATGCTACCTACCATTACTGACCATGCTGTGGAGAGGCTGCAACTCTAAAAGGACAATGCACACTCAGGCACCTTCTGTAAAGATGTTAGTGAGACATAAATTTTGTAGAATGATTTGTAGAAGAATATGACTTTAATTCTCCATAACATCAGACACAGTGATGGTCAGACACAGGGGAAGCAACATTTACACTGGCACACCTGTAATCAGTCTAATGATTTGTACTTCACTAAAATATGTCAGCCACAAGGTCATTTGATTGCCATCAAAGAGTCTTCCAATTCATCAATAGTTTCTTCAAGTGAATAATCAGTCGCCTTCTTAAAGTCATGATTGATTTTTGTGTTGCCTGTTTTTTGCTTCCAAACAAGGTTCTTGTTATACTTTGCTCTGCTGCAGCAAAGAGACTTCTTGGGGATTTTTCAGTCTATTAGGGTATTTGCACATTGTCTACAAGTCATCTGCCAGTCTATTGGTCACAAGAGGTTTCTCCTCAATTTTTCTGAAAGGTTTGCTTCCTTTTCTTTGCCATTTAATTTTTCAGTGTCACTTTCAGAACATGGGTGACGGAGAGGGGGCTCCTCTTGCCTTGGCTGTGCAAGGAGGTGTTTCCCTGTTATTCACTGCTTCCTGCTGACTCCTTCCTTTGTGCCACCACAGCGCGGTGGGAAACCAGACTGCATCGCTCGTCCACTCCAACACCTTTCCCAAGGAGGTGTTATGGCTGAGGTGTCCCTCAGCACTCCACCGGCATGGTCTCAACTGAATTTTCTGTTACGCTGCACTGTGTCTGCCTGGGGCCAGTTCATCAGGCAATCCAGATCACGTCGCATGCTTGGTGAAGCGGGAAATAGTGATGACAGGCAATCTTTGTGCCATCTGCCACAATTATTAGTAACTGATGTTTTATTTATCTCCAAATCAGCCATGAAGATGCTGACTTCCATTAGAAACATGTTCAATGACAAATTTTCATCTTTTGAGATCTGCTGGTTAAAGGATAAAGAACCACAAGCCTGCCATGAATTCACACAGGGTTGCTTACAAAAGACTGCCATGTCTATGCACCTACAGTTACCAGCCAAGCTGGAAATATCGTTGATTAGAAAAGGTCATTTGGGAATATCTAATCCCATAAAGCCACGTTCATTGGCTACTAATTAGTTACGCTGACACCGTGAAATTCCATATGTAGACAACTCCACACATACTTTCCCAGTACTGAGATCCAGTCTGGGAATGAACCTGCAATTACTCCTAGAGATTCACAAAGTATTTGAGTTTCCTATTCATAGGAAATACCATTGTTCTGGTTATTTTCTCTCTCCTGATATCAAAACAGAGCACAAATAGCAGATGATGTTATTGTTTAGCATGAAGAAAATGTTTTCTTAGCAATCTGCATCTATGGTGAGAGGAAAGCATTTAATTCCCAATTTAACTTTTTTTTTTTTTTTTAACATAAACATTTAAAATGTGCTATACCAGAAGTGTCAAAAACATGTTGGCATTTCATTTCTGTTTTATGTACAGCATGTTTTGTTGAAACTAGTCCCTTTGAAAACACTTCAGCTGAAACAAAAACAGCATTTTCCTTTGAAAAACTTCATTGTAAACATGCCATCAGGTTTGCTTTGGTCATTGCACTGGCCTGTTTCTACGTATTGGCCCAGCATTCTCAGTTTTCAGTGTTGGCAGTTTCTCAGTATTCTAAGATTTGTTAAAGAATTAGGTCAGTGATGCCATGAGCTCCTCAACCAACACTTTAGCAACTGAAAAGCCTCCAACTGTATTCTTATGGCTAGCTGGAATAAATCAACACGTTTGCATATCAGATCATATCAGCTCCTCAAACTGTACTATGTTAGTGTGTCAGGTCCAAGAACTCGGCTGCAGAGAATGTCTTACTACCTCTTTCCTCTTATATATTGCCAACACAAATGGAGATGTCTCTGAAGACAGTAATCCATGCCTTCTGCTTCACTCACTCTCTTTCAACGTACACTGTTGCCAGCGAAAGAAAACCCTGTTCCTTTCATGCTTATATTTTAATTGCATGCTTCTTTCTGTAGGCAGGCGAAAGTAACATCTATCGTTTTGTTTCCCATCTCTGTGTCAAATACATCTGCTCCACTTGTGGCGGTGCACTAGAGAACAGCTGTTTGCTCCCATTCAGCATCAGCCCTGCTGACACATGTTCATTTACCTGCATTTAACAGCCTGATAGAGTTGGAAAGCATTTCAAACTCACTCACTATCCCCTTCAGATTTACATGCATGAAAATAAAAATCAAGTACTGGCGAAGTCCCTTAATATCTGCATCTGTTTTGGCTACTTTCATCTACTCAGCAGTACAAGCCTGCCAGAGCCCTGGCTCATCCAAACAACAGTAAATGTTCAATTGGTCTACTCTTGCCCAGAATTTGACAAAAAGCTGGACCTGAATTAAGAAAACTGAGGGCATCTGGGCTATGTCACAGACACCACCACCTTGCATCTTTACTTTGCTCACTTAGAAGTGAGCCAGACCACTTGCACGCTGCTTTCTTAGCGCTGCCAGGCTCCCACACACTGACATTACTGGGAAGTGGCCCAGAGCTCACTCCAAATCTTGTGCTTTGCTCAGCGCAGCTCTGCTGCTTGCAATTCCTCTTACATGAATTTTATGTTTTGAGGTCACCACCTTTTTGACTTTTTAACTTCCCATCCTTGTTGCAAATTTATCTGCCTTTCTTTCTTGCCTGTCTGTACCTGAAGCCTCTCGATAGCCATTGTAACACATGTAACAAGCATCCAAATCCTTCCAGCTGCTCTGCACACTAGGCTGGGTATTAGAGGGAGACAGACTTAGCAGGTGGCTGGGGCTCACCGCCTGGCTGTACTCCAACCTGCTGCCTTTCTTTATCTTACCTCATTTACTCCTCTCTGAAATCCAGCAACGTGCACCCTGCCCTTCTACCCCTCTGTTGTCAAAGTATCTGGGCAGTTCACAGTCCCTAGCACCATCCTCCACAGGTAAGCACGTACATGCCAGGTGCTACGTAGATGTCAGGAGACACTTTCAGTTCTAAAAAGTTTCTGCTCTTATTTTGAGCAATCCCAGCTGCCAAACAGCCCGACAGGACAGCTCCTGCAGGTACAGCAAATCTCCTCAGATTTGGTCCTGCATAAAATGAAGAGGTCAGCGCAGCAGATGCTTTTGAGCAGTGACTTCATCAGCAAATGTGGTCCCAGCCTGTGTGCAGACACCTGTCTGCCAGTTACCAGCCCAGTGCTGGATCTGAGCAGCCTGCAGGGTGTCACCTCCTGTCACCGCTTGTTTCAGTTCGGTGCACAGCTTATATTTAGCCTTTAGTAGGTGATGTTACGAGAGGAGATGGAACAAGGAAAGATGTGACAGAAGAAATAGATCACATTGTTCCCATTAAAAAAATGTATTAATCCTGGCATTTTTACTTGTACTTTTATTTATGGTAGAGTAACTTTTTTTTTTTTTTTTTTTTTTTTCCTCCCCAGAAAGAGCAGTTGACAGGCAAATAGCAGCTCTCTGTTACAGTACTACGAAGTGAAAGTCTGGCCTCTCATTTCACAGACTAAAGCTAACTCTTATTATCCTGCATTTAGCCAATGCTTCTCCTGATACATTAAAATAAGATCAGCTTGCCCAAAAGCACACTCCAGGGCTATTGTTGGGAATTCACAGCTGCGTGGCTTGCACCTTAACAGCATTTCCCATTAGCTGCTGTCACCTTTATTGTTCCATTGGAATACCCACTACATTATTTGATTTTCATCACTTTCCTCTCAGGTTGGCATTTGACCTTTCTTTTTAAATACCACGTCCTGGATGTAGCGAGGGACAGTTAGAAGCTCTTGCTGTACAGAGCAGGAGCAGAACAGATAGAATTAATGCTACACCATAGTACATCAGTATTTTCCTTTCTTTCTGAGGGGTGGAAAGCACCAAAGAATGAGTACAAAGCTCTGCTCTGAGTTACTTGGAACCAACTTTCCTGTCGGCAAATAACATTGCTAGCGAATGGCAGGGAAAATCCTTACAAATCACACCTCTGTTACCTCAAGCAATTCCCTTAAGGGTCCCCCCTTAAGGGACCCCATCATTAACTAATTAATCACAGCTTGTAGGTACCATCAGCTGTGTCTGAGGATTATAGCAAGGCAAGCAAGCCCCTCATAAATAGCTGAGAAGCAGGGTTGGGTTGAGTTGTTACATGTATGCTTTGGAAGCAGTGGTTACTGGAGGTTCTTATGGATCATTATGGTAAAGTACCAGTTATTATTTCCTTTAAGCAAAAAAAAAAATCCAGATATCTGAGTAATTTTGGATACCTTACTCTAAATAACTGCTTTTAGTTACATACAGACCTCATTTCAGGACAGACATAAATTTTTGTGTCTGTTAAGCTTATCTTGCTCAGCTTGAGTATAGATTCTGTATTTTCTCTATGGAAAAAATGGAAGGCATGTGTGCTGGTACTTCACCCTGCTATTTTCAAAATGAGCCCCTTTGAATTTGAGGGGTCTGGATTCCTAGTGCTTGCATAAGTTACTAGGTTGCTCTCTTCTGTGTGTCACCAGATCCTGTTAAAATTAAATAGGTGTTCTTACTATTGGGCTCTATAGTGTTTAGTGCTCATCTTCCTCTCTGGATTTTTGTCAAGTTAGTCCTTATCAAGCTACCCTAGATTAGCTGTCACAATGCAGAGCTTATTCTGGACAGCTCCAGCCTTGATCAACTCCTCCCTACCCCGCCATTATTTATTTATTTACTTGTTTTCTTTCTGACTGTCTACTCCTTCTCTGCTGGCCCATTTGGTTTTGGCAAGAGAAGGGTAACCAGGTCTTGCAAAATCCTGACATTGTGCTTGTGACTCGTGCTGCACAGCAGTTGGATATTCGGTAAGGATAAATACAAGTGAAATCCATAACCACTTTGCACTTTCCCCACCGTGTCATCAGATATAGCTAGTATAGGCTGACTAACATGATGGGAGGATATCACACCCTTCCGAAAGTGCCTGGAGGGTGGAGGATGTGAGTGGGTGATTTTGTCCTGTTCTGCCTTTTCAGAGATGTCTGAGAAGCCCCGTGCTCCTAATATACAGCTTCTTGTACAAGGACGATGTGTTCAGTCTTTTTCTTGCAGCTGGAGCCCCCAGCAGCTGTGCTTGCCTCTTAACCCTTGCTCTGCCTCCAGGGCCAGACAGTCTTCTACAGAGATTAGTGGTGTCATCTGCAGCTAGAGGCAGACAATTTCCCTCAGGTCCAGCCTAAAAGGCAGGTTATCCTCAGAAAATGTAGCCAGCAGCGTACACTTCTTTCTGCATTAAGTGCACATCAGAGGCACACGAAGGGATGGGCAGGGGATCTTTGGATAGGGTTGGTAGCGTGGGACTCAGCCGGGTGCTGCCCTGCTCAGAGCTCTCCTGCTGGCATTCACCTTTTGTGGGCATGGGGTTTGTTTGCAGTTCTACCACGAGACAGCATACCTTGCCACTCTGATGAGGCAGCTCTTTTGAAACGTCTTGCTTGCTCAGGACACTTCTGCATGGAGGCGTCAGCTCCTATTGCATTACCATGGGTACTGGGAGTGCTGTGATATTTGCTCTGTGCTCGGGATGGGAGCTCTTCTAGCCTCCCCCACCCACTTCACATGCAGATACACACACTTCAAGCTGTCCAGTATATCTCCAGAGAGTGGAAAGTAGTTGCTAAAAATACTTATGTACAAGTTATTTATGGCCCACATCAACCCTGTGGCACCCATTACACAATGCTGCACAAAGAAGCCCTTATCTGGAGGAGCTCAGAGCCAGTTTTACAGCCCACAAGTAACCAAAGGGCAATCCTACTGGCTTTTCAATTGAATTGTAGGAATTTGAGGTCCAGGCATTCAATTTAGATGTCAAATCTTGTTCAGCGGGATCTGCCAAGTTGTTTTCTTCTGATTTGCATGGAGCTCTGGTAGAAGGGATCAGAAACTGTTGTGCTACCAGAAGGCATGGTATCCTGCTACCAAAAAACTGGGGGCAGGCAGAGCAGATCTTCCCAGATGGAATTTAGTTCAAGATAATTATTTTCTTTCTCTCTTTTGTATAAAGATTTGCAATCCTCTATGGAAGAGGAGGGAGGCTTATCCCTTAGCTGGCACTGGGCAAATACCTAGTGTCAGGCACAGAAATTCCATTTGGTTCACAAATGCATATCTGATCTGGGTGGCTTTTGTCTCAAATCCTAATATAGCCATAGGGAATTCAAAAAATCTTTTTTTATTCATAACTAGGTTTGAAGAACCAGAATGACTCAAAACACGGTGCAAGGAAGATCCATCCTTTTCTTCTGGACCATATCCACTTTTAGACAGCTTCTGATTACATTTATGTTCCGTATTGGCCTCATGAGTGCTGATCTTTAAAGGTCTGTACTTCCAGTTTTAGTATGTGAGGACATGAGAAGCAAGCTTATGCAGGTAAGAAATTAGATGCTTTTGATATAACGGTACTGGTGGAACAAAATTATAGAGAGGTTACAGGAAAAATAGCACTTCTTGGCCTGCCAGCTCACAAGTCAGAGGTGGTCGGAGCATAATTCCTCGGTTTACTTATAAAATGACAGTGAAAAGGCAGTGGAAGCCTCACCACTGTCAGGCTAGGGCTGCTCATATCACACTCCCGTTCCCCATCAGGTCACTCACCACCTCAAGGAAATCAGATTGGTTTGACACACTTGTTCTCATCAAATCCCTGGAGGTGGGTCCTTATCTTCTTATTCTTTTGCTACTAATGATGGGATGCTCTGTAATTGCTTGCATGTCCTGGCTCCTGGAAAGGCTAATCCCCAGAGCCTCTCTCTGCCCTCTGAGGAGCATTACACTTACCCTCCTCTACTCCTTTGGGACCCTTACTGTCATCCCTGCTTCCTCAAATGAAATAACTAATGTTTCAGAGGTTTAGTTCAGCTAATTCTTTAAGCACTCTAGGGGGAATTTCAGCACTCCTTGCCTGCTTGAGCACATGCTTTTTCTTTAATCCTAGATATTTCTTTAATTCATTCTTCCTCTATGCTGCTTTGGAGTAATCTATTCTCTTACAATAATTAGCCATGCTAATTGCTTGGTTAAAATTGACTTGTCAATTAAAAATGGAACAAAATAATTCTGAGTGTTTCAGCTTTGATGTGTTTTTCACTGCTGGCACTTCTGTGCTGTGCGCAAGTAGCCCCTTTTGTCACAGCCTGTTCCTCCCCCCCCTGCACCTCTGTCTCCCCTCTTGCAGATGACCAGGCCAGACCGCTCTTTCTTCAGGGACTTTTCATAGCAAAAGGGATAATAGAAACAAGCCTTCAGAGCTGGAGAACTGGGCAGGATGTAAAGGCTGGAAACACCTCTCTGCTTCTGAGCAAACCTTCACAGGACTGCAGGACTTTGCCTGCAGCACTTGTGTGTTGGTGAACAGCTCTGAGGGGAGTTTGTACACTTTTTTATGTATTTGCTCCTCCTGGTGCTATTACCTCTGCCTTGATTAGATTTCAGCTGAGGCCACCGGCAGCAATGTCCCTCTTGTCCACAGGGGTACCTGAGCTGGTGTTTGTGTCTCACCTGGGTCCCCCACATTGAAGAGAATGGCAACAGAACTGCCCAGCAGTACTGCCCATGGTTTGGCCACCGAGGACAGACCTCTACACAACATGGCCATTTAGAGACATGTCTGGGAAATAGGAGAACTGTTTCTGGTTAACACTTCATATTGCTTGCTGGCATTCCTGAGTTGTTGTTCTGCTGGGTGATCATCAGCTACTACTGAATGCATTTGGAAAAAAGCATTAGATTTATTTTTCTGATGTTTTTCTACCTCTTTCAGGTGTCAAGAGCTAAGGAACATAATGTGTAGAAGTCAAATGGCCAAGTTCTTGTTCTCTGAATCCAAATCAGTTACTAGCTACTAAGATCTGTAGCAAACTGAGTGTGAGATTATCATACATCTGCTGCTGTGGTTTTCCTTCCTGTGAAGCACTTGGCTATTATCTGATGCAAGTTCTTGAACACCTGATTTGGGTTATGGAGCAGTTTGTCTTGTGTTTCTAAAGAGTCAAACAACAACAACAGGAAGAAAAATTTAAAAGCCTTGTAATCATCGTTTTAATCAAATGTTATCTTCAGGCTGATCTGCATTTGGAAGCATGGATTGCTACCTGCACGTGCTGTAGTTGACAGTGGATGCAAGCAGTTTGCCCGTCCGAGGGCAGCCAGTGTCTTACAGGCACCTTCTCGGTGTGTACACCCACTATTAAGATTAATTTCGGGGCTCTTAGAGCAGGGCCATCCCCAAAGCCGAACCACCTTCCAACTCTCCTTGCTTGATGCCACCTAGTGGCTGCTGGCAAACAAGAGCTCTTAGCCCAAAATTTGGGGAACACCCCATCTTTAGGAAAGTAGCACTGCAAGTAGTAGTTATTCTTGGAGTTGCAAAGATAACATCAGATGAGGTTGCTCTCAATTATCTGCTGGCATTAATCAAGTTACTGAATCCATGGCAAAACCCAGCACAGGCATGGCTTATCAGAGTTGGCCCAGCTGTCATCTCAAAAAGCCCAGCAGGAAACAACCCATGAAAGTGAATTATTTGTAGGGGTTGTCACAGAAACCACAGAAACAGACCTTCCTTAAAAACTTATGCCCTATCCACAGCATGGATGTGGAGCCAATGCTCATCAGCAGTCTCAAACCTGGCCACTCACACTTCATGCGAGTCTATTCCAGTTTCTTCCAAATTCTCTTATGGTAGATCTGAGTGACTTAACAAGGGGAGCCAAACACTTTTCTCCAGCCATCTGTATCCCAACTGATTGCACTGATTTGCATCAAATGCTAATTAAGGCTAAGTTTTTTGGGGGCAACTGTAGGTAATAACCAAATAAAGCATATTTCATTTGGTTAAAATTTGCAACTGAGCAAGTCACCCAATGAAACCTTTCCTCTTTTATTCACAGATTAGTTGAGGCAGACTTTAATTTTTACTGAGTCTAGTGGTGATTTCAGACAATGGCTTACAGCCTGCCTGGAATATCCATGTTAATAGATATTTGCCCAAAAGCTAAAGATTATTTCTGGCTTATGTTTTCCAACAAAACTCATCTATGGTCTCAATTTTTTTTTTTTTTTTTTTTTGGCTTAGTGAGCACTAGAGCTGTGTCTTATTTTTAGTGTTTTTGCCTGAGTATTTGAGAAAATACTAATATTTACTCATCACAACATCTAGGCAAATACAGTCTGAGCTTCTGTAGAGTGTCCAATTTATACATAAAAATACATGAAAAGGTATGTTTTCCATCACATGATCATAAACCTGTTTTCTGATAACAAGAACTGACTGTATGAGAAAGTCCAAATGGAAATTTAATTTCTTTCCTTTTCTGTGATGCTGAAAACTCTAGTTGCATTTGCTTTCTTGGATTATCTGTAGTAAGTTTTTCTAATTTAGCAAGGGCAGACTAGCATTTTCAAAATGTAAAATATTTAGTATTTATTACTACAAAGAGAAATAAAATATTTCCATTACAGTACTTTTGAATAATTTACTTTCCATACAGCTCAGCTGTCCCATCTATCTAGATATCCTCTCTAATCCCTCTCTTTGCCTGCTACTGTTTAAACAAAGATCATCTTTATTATTTTTCCAACTAAAAGCTCTTTTAATAGCCACTTACACAGAGCATACATCACAAAGTCTATGGCCCCATAGATCACAAATTATGAGATCATTGGCTGATGAATTGTCAATTGTTACCAAAGGGTTTGTAGGCAACACAGTTTTGGAAAGGAATGTAGAGAGCCTATTTTTGCTTCTATTATTCATCCATTCCTTTTCCCCCTGAAATAGCCTCTTTTCAGTTCCAGTGCATGTGCAAACTAGAAATAACATCAGCCCTGGAGGATTTTCCTTTGCCATTCCCTCAGACATTCATTCCCCAATTTAGGGTGTCTGTTCTCAACTTTTCAGAATAGCATCTCCTTCCCTTGCTTCGTGCCACATGCATCCCGTACAGACGCAGTGACCGGGCTGCCTCGGGAGAGGGATGTTCTTATTTAAGCCAAGCAAAGTCAGAACAACCCCTCTGCTTGTCTTCTGCCCAGCAGATGCAGCAGGGACCTGACTTCATCCATCAGAATGGGTGGTGCAAAAGTCCCTGTTCTGTGCTTTGTAGTCACTAGAGGGCAAAGCAGGTCTCTGTAAGGCAATCCTGCAGCCCGAAGGGGGCTGACCTGGCACAGCTCCTGCCTTTGGCTCAGGAGGCTCTGGTGTGGGGATCCTGCCTGCAGGGGCAGAGCTGGACGTACCCAGCCTGGCTGCTGAACCTGAGCTTGCTCTGTAGCAGCCACAGTGCTGGCAGACCAGCAGCAGTCAGGGAATTTCTGGGGTTGCCCAGGTTTACCTGGGACATGGTCACACTTGCCCAGAGACAGCGGTTCTCATGTGTTTCTTCACTAAGTTGTTGACGTTCACTAAGTCATTCATCCTACACAGCAGATCAGGAACCACCCCCTGAAGTCAGTGTAAAGCTGACTTGGGAAGGCAGAACGAAATCTGGAGATGACAACTCCAGAGCACAGGAAGGGTTTTCAGTCTATAGGGCTTTACCCCCAAGGTGGAGAGTCAGCTCATGAATTGCCCGTCAGGCAAGTCTGTTCACCTGACCCTGAGCCCAAACTAACAAAGCTTATGCATGGGCCTTGCTCCTGTGAAATGGTAATTGCTTTTGGAGTTGTGCTCAAAATCTCCAGCTAGAAACAGGACATACATCTCCTATCCATCTCCTTTAATTTCAGTAGCACTCTTCACTATTCTCCTCAGTCGCATAGGTATCAGATATGATTCAATAAGTGCAAGAAGTAATCAAAAACAAAAAAGGGGGAAATGGCCATTGTTTACTGAAGGGGTTTTATGACAAAGCAGAGTCCCATGACAGTCAAATAGGAGGATGTGTTCCATTCTGTTATGCAACATGTGGCCTTACTGCAGGAAAGATAAAGATTTTTTTTTTTTAAACCCATTTAAAATGATGCATCTGAATGCCTAGTCTGGGCTTTTTGATTGCTAAGCAGCCACAGCTCACACTGAGCATAGGGATAATTTTAAGTTTTCATCACTTCTGGAAAATAGGCCATTAAATAGGTCATTAAGTATAGCATTAGCTGCCTCATTTCAGCCACCCAGGCTGAAGAAATCTGGCTGTTGAAAGGCAAACAGAGGCTCAGATTAGCACTGGGTGCAGACTGGCTGGCCACACTGTTGTTTTACACAACATATATGACACTGCAAAAGCACAGGCATCCTGGCAGCCTTCAAACAGATACCATGAAGTCCAGGCTGGTATTTAATAATCAGTCTCCTCAGGTGGAATTGCACCTGTTCTGGAAGTGTGTTTCTAGAACACGGAGGAGATCCAAATCAGACACAGCAACTCTAAAAGTGGCAATCAGTTTTATGGTTTCAGGTTATTGATTCATGCCTGGTTCAGGATGGAAAGTCATTCAAACAGTGGCTCTCGGTACCCTGCTGTGAAGTGAGCTGACTGTTGTCCCTTTTGGAGCCTGGCTGTCCACCCAGGTTCCTCTCACAAGCAGCCATCAGTCCCCTGGGAAGATGAGACTGGCTGTACTGACTTAGTGCAAAGGTCCATCTATCCTGTCTCCAGCAGTGACAAAAGCAGACCATGGGAAAACACAGAAGAACTCAGCAAGGACATACGACTTCTCCCAACTCCAGCTAGTTGCTGCTCAGGAACTTCTAGAGTCAGAAGGAGTCACTACGTTGTTAGTAACTTTCAATGCATTCCTCCCTTAGGAAGTTATTCTGTCCTCCATGGTCTCACACAGACTTGTAGCATCCACAACATCCTTACATGGGGATAAGCCAAACAAATCTGAGAAGTGAGTAAGGGACAAGGGATATGAGCAACAGTTGGAAGCAGCATGAGAAAGCAAGCTAGCTCTCTTCTGGCTCAAATTTTCCTTCGTGCAGCTATAAGGAGGTCTTTTCCCAGCATGCTAAACCTCTGGATGTGCTGAAACATTTTGTGAAGAATTGGGAACATTAAAAAAAAATAAAAATGTATTAAGTACTTAGCATGAATGTGAGCAAATGAAACCAACAGTGGCACTATGGGATGTCCCCACCCAAACCCACACATGTTCTATAGGTCCCGGAAACAGAATTGAGGTCTCAAATAGCATCATTGTACTGCAGTGATCTCTCTTTTTTTTTTTTTTTTTTTTTTTTTGAAACATTTAATGATAAATGTTTAAACAGCTGCCCTCATAGGATTCAGGGAAGGAGAGCGGTAAGGCATTGTCTTATATTAAAGCCACAACTGGAGCTTGGCCAGAGCTGAAGAATTTGTAAGTGACCTGAGTACATTTTTCATGCATTTTGCTGAATCCCCTGCATGGCGTAACTTTCTCTGTGGGAGATTTAGCCAAACAGTCCGAAGAAAAGAAAGAAATGTGGACAAACCAGCTTCTGTGATTTATTGCCTCAAAGCCATTCACTACAGATTGTCCCAGCTGGTCATAAGCTACATATTTCCTACTTCAGTGGAGGGGAAGAAGGGTACTGGATGCACATTTTACCGAGATAGAGATCTCTATTCTTTAATTTATCTCATACACTTAGGACAAATGAATAGTAGTGTTGATCTTATCCCCTGCTTAATTTCTAGTTTATTTTTCTTTGCTCTGCCACCCCCCACCTCCCCTTCCCTTCCTCCCCGCCAACATCAGGTGAGATTTACTGAAAGAGAAATAGGCCCATCCCTTATTCAACAAGATGGGAAGTTTCTTACACTAGCTTTATATTTGACTGGAGGGTTGATAAAATTCATAAATCAATAACCTTGGAGATCAAGGCAGAGCAAGCCTTATTCATCTCAGTTCCTTAGTAACCGTAATGCCTCATCTGGTATGATCCCAGAGAATACAAATATTCAAGTAGAGTCCTTAGTTTTTTTCTTTCAGCACAGCTAATTGCGATTTTCTTCCAAAATACAGATTGAGACTACAGATCCATTAATTAAAAACACTGTGAAGTCCTGAGCATGTGTCTGCATTAGTGTTTCAGTTCAGATCGGGAGCTCGCTTTGGAAGTAAATTGTTTTGCATTATGGTGTCATCTTAAGAGCACTTGAATTAGTGCCCTTTTGGAGGAAATTTATCTGTAATATGTGTTCCCCCAATCCATTTTAGTCACTACTGGGCAATCAATCCCTAAGGCCAGACCGTGGATAGCATGAACTGGAAAAGAAAAAAAGAAATAAAAATCCAACCATGAAATATATGTACTGTGAATGTCATGTCCTCAGCAAAAATTCTTGTGGCCCATGGCTTTGCTCCTCTTAGTCCGCACTACTTAACAATGCAGATAACAGAAAATCCACAGATGGTCCTCAATTAATTTGAAGGCTTCATAGCTAAGCAATTCCAGCATAAACGACAAAGCAACAGTAGGAAATTAAATGAGTGATAGACCAGGTGATGTCTGGCCCTTCATGATAGGACAAGGGGTAATGGCTTCAAACTTAGTGAGGGGGGATGTAGATTAGACGTTAGGAAGAAATTCTTCCCTCAGAGGGTGGTGAGGCCCTGGCCCAGGCTGCCCAGCGAAGCTGTGGATGCCCCATCCCTGGAGGTGTTCAAGGCCAGACTGGATGCTGCTGTAGTTTGCATTTCTTTT